CTGTTCTTTAATGCTTGCTGTGGTTTAATATCGGCTATGACCAAATACTTCTCGAATGTCTAGAATTTAAAATGAAACAATAATTATTAGGTGCTTTCGATGTCTATTCCTTACTTTTCATTTATCAGTGATAGTGTGCAAATATCATAAAACCACACCACCGGAAAAGACAGGTGACTATGGATAGAGACTGCAAAAATATTTGCATTCCTATCTGGAAAAAATGAAAGTTTGGATATTGGCAGAGTTGCCTCCAGGCATAATACAATTTGATGTTTATCCTCTTTGATACTTCTTTTTTTTTAATTATTACAGATTTGCATACACAATTTTTTTTATCCAATGTCTGTGTCTGATTTCTCCTCCTTTTGAAAAATGGGGATGAGAAATATTTTTTAAACAGTAGTAGAGAAGGTTATTATTTATTAAAATATTCAAATATTGGATAAACAACCTTATTACTTTCCCCCCCACATTCAGCTTGGGATACTGCTAAGTAGAATAGAAGGTAAAAAAATAGAAATCTTAATTTTATACAGAACTCTGAAAAACACAACAATTTCCCAGTTTTGATGTAGTGAAAAACAGGATACCAAAAGATTAATAATTTTCTGCTTTATAGTGTAGTAGATATTCTGATTTAGCTGTAATGATTTAAATGATTTAGATCATAAAGACAAATGCTTTGATGCCACAGAGAGGTGCATTAGTAATACCTCTTTATAACTCTGTAGCCGTCTCTGAACTATTGACATCTTGTTGGCAAGACCAGTGCTAATGCAATATATTGCAAAAACCCGAACCTTTTCCTGACTGTTCTGTATCAAAGGCAAGCTGAAAGCGGCACCTGCTCACAATAAAGGGAATATAAGGACATGTAATTACCTTGACATAATTTTTCAAGTCTTCTGGTGGAAGCAGCCACTTTATGGAGGCTTGCCTAGAAATTCTGTGCTTAAAACTGTCTCTGTGGCCCTACAGTAAAGTATGTGGTGATGAGCATCCACCACTGCAACTCTCAAACTCATTAGCAACATCTTGCTCCCTAAGACAAGATTGGGGTGAATTAAAGGGACAGTAAAGACCATTCCGTTGCCAGCCTCTTAGCACTTTCTAGTCTGTGGCCATTAGAGGACGACAGCCTCATGTTAGTGCAGAGCCTTTCGCTACCACATCACAAAATGCAATCAGATTTCTTTGCATTAAATACTTCTAGATGTCCTTCTCTTGCAGAGACTGTAGAAATCTGTTTTGGGGTATTACAGTCATGTGAAAAATTGTGGCTCTTTTAGGATTTACATGAACTGTTCAACTAATAACAGAACGAGTCAAAATAAATATACTTTTCAGCTAACAGGAATATTAAGCTTTAACCTGCATACAGTTATTGTAAGAAGAGATCATGCTGAGTGGGACTCGATGTCATTCTGCAGTGGAAGCATTAACCAAAATGTATTCCTGTTCTTGGGTTATTTTGACCAGAATTTTTGGAATTCTTTATGTGCTGGGGGAACTTGTGATTTTCTGTCTGAAGTGATTATGTAGTAAACACCTAAGAGACTAAAGTGGTGTTTTGCCACCATCCCGCTGGCTGATCTGGAGAATAGATGGCAGCTGAATTGCTCTCTGCCTGCAGATTTAGTGCAACTCAAGAGCTGCTGTTTGTTAAACAAGAAGAATGGGCCCCAGGAAGCAACCTTACCAGCCAGATGTGTGAAAAGTTTTTGCTCTCTTACTGGCTTTTGGGGTTTTGTCTTCTCATTGGGATAGTGAGTTTTGAAATTAAAGTTCAACAAGCTTTTCTCTAACCCCAAATGCAGGTAAACTGAGAAAAAAAAAATAATCTCAATTTCTTCCCCTCCAAATGGGAGCAAGTCTTGGAGGACGAGAATCTTCATTTCACATAACTTTGTGGTTTATCTGAAGTTTTTCCATCCAACTGAATAAATTACTTTTTCACACAACTTCAATTAAAAGATTAAACTTGTGGGCCCAGAACTTTTTTTCTCTTTTTTTCCATTTTCTGTTTTCCTCTTACTTCAAATTTCCAAAACTACATTGTCTTTACACATACATGTACTATATATATATATGTATGTGTGTACGTATAAATGTGTATATCTATGAGTATATATAAAAGCATTTAAATTTTACTTCTAAATCTTTTATTTTTTTTTTAAAAAGCTACTTCTAAGTCACACACAGTGATTTTTGTGGTGCTATACTTGGGATGTACTTCAATGTAACATGGTTACTTATGAATCCCATTAAAAGTGATTGCCAATCTATGTGAGCTGTCATTTACAGAAGCACTCTACTTCTATTGAATGTCTCTGGGTGACAGTAATGCAGTAATAACCCAAGAAAGACTCAGATGTTTCTATTAAACATAAAAATGAGGCAAGTGCTTTTGACCCTAGTGATATTTTTAATTTTTTTTTTTTTTCCAGCTGGTCTAGGATTTGCCTAAGAAATTGTGCAGGAAATAATCCAGGGCATCTTTTTATATCAGTCTTACTCCTATAGAGTATAATTCGTAGCAGAAATGTGTCACTTGGAGGAGGGAGAACTTGCTGGGACATTATCTCTGTGGTTTCCTCTACTTTTTCTGTGGCATTTTTTAAAAGCTGAACCTCTAGTTATGACAACTGAATGATTAACATTACCCTAAATGATACAACATAAACCCTGATACAACATAATTGTACCACTTAGCTTTTCATTATAAATTAATTTGCATTTTAACTATGAATTGAAATAGTTGAGAGTAACTAAGTAGCTAAGTTAACTGGAAGTAATAAAGTTAACATAAAATCCTCATGGTCAAATAAATTAATGGAAATGTGTTTTTAAAATTAGGATTTATTAAACCACAAATAACAATGTTAGAATCTTGTTGAGATAATTTTTTCCATATCTTTGAAATCTGATATTATTTCTACATTAGACATTCAATAGTTTGTTTCCTTTTGATTTTAAAATTAAAGTACACTTCAAATAAAATTAGTTTTAAATGGGGCTGTATTAGAAAGGCATATATTAAATTTAATTTCTGGATACATTTCCTTAAAACTTGTTGTTTGTCTGCCTAGCCAGTCAGTGTATGACAGCTAAAGATATGGATGAGAATCTGATATATCTATTTAATAACTGTTGAGATTTTCACTGAAATGTTTTTTGCCTGGGTTTGTGATCATGGAAATGGATTTTTAACTCTAAAACTTTAGGGACTAAGAAGGATTATTGGGTTGGATTGAATCTTTCAAAAAGATGTCTCCATCATTTTAGGGAAACACCTTGTCTCTTCGCAGACCTTTGAAAGAGCAACCAGTAGCTATTTTGAAGTTCCTTGAACTCATCAACAGACACCTTCATTGCTTTCTTCAGACTCCTGCTAGCTGGGCTGGGCTCCAAACATCTGTCCAGCTGTGCAGGGCACTGCCTGGGAGAGCGGGGTGCCTGAGAGAGCAGGATGGCCTCCTGCAGGGCCCCTGCTGGGGACCACAAGAGGGTGCGAGTGCCCTGCGCAGCCACCCCACTGCGAGGAACACTTGGGTTCGTGAATGACATTAGCAGAGAAAGGCCGCTCTGTCGTACCGAGAGCAAACTGACTCAAGTCCAAGGAAATCAATCAAATTAAAGGGTGAAAGCCTCAGCTTACTTCCCCTGCTTTTGATGAGGCGAGGTCAGTCAGCACCAGCCACGGGCTGTTCCTGCATGGGTGAATGGGTCCTCAAGGGAGAAGGTCTATTTCTGGGGTTTGTAACCCAGCCCATTATAAGAAAGCAGTGGGAAAACCACTGAAGCTTTGTGACTCACTGGTAATAGGAAAGATGGTTTGAACTGAATCTCTTCCTAGGACTTTCGCATACTGGAGGAAGTGCCTAAGGGGTGTATAAACATGCCTAGGAAGTAAATTTTGACCTGCAGGAGTAAAGGAGAGCTAACAGTACCACTGATGGGAAAAAGATTTCCTACTCAAGAGTTCTACAGTTCCCTAGTTATTCCTCAGTTTCTTGATTATTTCACAGCAGTAGCTGGAAGCAGCTTCTAAGCTGAGAGACGTGATTTAAACATACTGCGTGTGCTTCTTCAGCTGCTTGCTTTTTACAACAGCTGCCATTAGGGGCTACTGCAGTACATGGCCACACACTGGGTGATTCAGGTCTGCTTTTCTGATCTTACAGGAACCTGACGCAAAAATAAATTTTCCGCACTCCTCATTTAAAGTACTTTAAAAATTTAAATTAGGGATAGTTTTCCTACTTTAAAAGCACTTTGCTTTCTGATGCCACCTTTCAGTTCCAATTTTTTTGTGAGGTACATTTCAAAGTTCATTCCTGCTGGTTTTAGGGTTGATAAGGCCAGGAGTAAATCAAGCTAGTAGACTCAGGGATAGGCAGGGACATACCATAAGCTAGCGAATAATATCTAAGCTAGTCAATAACCCTCATTGTGCCACATTCTCAAAACCCTCTGCTTCCCAAAAGCAGCCTCATAATATTTATTTATTCATTTATGCAGATTTCATGGAGAAGTTGCTTCATATCTGGTCTGTGAAAAGGGTTTTTCTCTATCCATTCTTAAACACCCCAGAAGAAGGTTTTTTTTATGTAAGTTTCTGAAATTTAGTTATCCATTATTGGAATCCGATTCTATAAATTATTTTCTCTAAGAATTACATTTGAAGCTTAATTCATAAAATATGATTATGAGCAAAGAATGAAACTAAAATAGATATAAAAGTCCTCTGAAGTACTGGTAAATCAGTAAGTAGGAAATGTAGGTCTAATTAAATATTGTTAGTCTGTGAATCTACATCCACTAACTGCGAGTACTTAATATGGCATGCTTGGGAGAGATTAATTTTAATCCAGGTAGAAAACCAACAATTTAAGTGCTCTGATTTTAGTTATGGGGGAGTGATTAAAACGTTTCTTAAAGCAAAAAAAGAATTTAATAATTTCTAGAGCTTTAAGAAGTGTCTATTCTACCTGCAGCTGACATCTTGTCTGATGAGAAATCCTGCTGCTTTGCTCAGTAAATACACGGAAGGAAGGATTTTCCTTGTTGCTGCAAGGAAAGGTAAGAAAAAAGAAGAAACTGTATAGTGCAGATTCAGAAAGTGGTAGTGTTTCCTTTTGAACAGACTGAACAGTCCATTTCAGTGCTGAAGGTTTGCATTAAACAAATATTAAATCCATTAAAGACTTGATCATGGTTGCTTGAATAGCCACAAAAAAAGCATTACAACTATATTGTGGCCAAATTGCATCCTGATGATTGTAATGCTGATATGTACTTTCCATGGGCATTTTCACATGTATGTAATAATCAATTTTCTTCTTCTTTATTTTTTTTTTGTCTAAGAAGAGCCCACAAAACAAAATGTTACTGAAAGCCAAGGACTGTGTGGAAATGGATGAGTAACCAGTTTTTCAGAATTTGGAGGTTTCATAAATAACTGCAAATACAGTTTTAAAAATTTCAGGCATCTTTTGTCCCAGACATTGTGTTTGCATCACTTTTAGCGTGAATCTACCAGCACTAGCCATTAATATTCTTATATGATACTTTGCTTGGGTTACTTTGATTGAGACTTTATTTTATTAATAGACCCTTTGTGATACTCTAGAATACTCTCACGCCTTGCAAAGTGATGAGGTTCTCCACGTTGACAAATGCAGACCTCACTATATGCTTTCCATTAAATTACTCATAATATTAAACATCTGGAAAATGTTTGTTGGTTGGAAAAGTGTGGGATAAGACTACATGCATAACCACAGAAAATGCACCATCTTGCATGTGGAAATAAAGACAATGGTGATACAGTTCTTTTCCCAAACATGTTTTAGATATATGGTATAATTTTACTGCCCATTAAAAGACAAAAATAATTGGATGACATAATGACTGTTTATTCAGAATTCTCTAAAGAAGTAATTATCTTCCTAGGCTTTACTCAGTTAAAGTCATCCAGACCTCTGGTATAGCCTAGTCTTGGATAAGCATGTGGCTGTGTATATGCACATAAAAGTTTTGGACAGGTTGAAAGAAGACTAAGGCTATTTTGGGATGCATTTGGAAAAGTTGTGCAACTGTGCAGACACATAGTAAACCTGTGCATAGGCATGTAATGTGTAGTTGGATAAATATTCAATCTTTTTGTGCACCCTGGCTACCTGTGTACAGTACCACCAACCCCCTCATCTGTATGTAGGTTTTTTAACGTCTATAGAAATGTAACTTCACGCATTTGTGTAGTTATACCCTTCATTTTCATTTGTTTGAGGATGTAACTTCCTAACACACATTCTTCCTCCTTGTAACATGCACTTCCTCCATTAGCTCAGCTTCTCTGTTACTTTGGGCTAATTTCTCTGATTGCTTTAAGATATGCTTCTGTTCTTTTTAACATTTTCCAACTTTTTTACTTCCTTCCTTCAGGTCACTCAGTGCTCTAGTCTTTTTTTCTGGTGGTGCTCTATCAGTCTCCACCCCTATCAGTTATAGTCTCAGATTCCAGTAATGCTTTTTAAGGCTGTTGAAACAGTGGAAACCTAAAAATGACTGACACGTGGAAAGGAAGTTAATTTATAAGTATGTTTACAGATCAGTTAATTTTCTGTTAATGCTTCAGAATGCACACAAATTGACACATTCCTATTTACAGGAATCGTGGTGGAATATTACTGTCATTCTGTCACATCGTCATCCTGATGGGGATCTGTATACTGGGAGAAAATACTCTGGCAACCAGTAGCTGGAAGATGAGAGTAGACTAATTCAAAGTAGAAATAAATATTTTACATACAGAATAGTTGAAACCACTTGAAGTGGTTCACAGTTTGGTTGCTTGCACTAGACAAAATTTTGTAGTCAGCATACCACCAAAGTATTCAACTACAGTTTTCTACAGGGCCCTAGAGTTTTGAAGAGCACTGGGCGTGCCCAGAATACTAGAAGCTCACGCTCACTACACTGCCCCTTGGACCGGTAGTGGCTGCAGTTGCTTGTGGTCCTTTGGAGCAGCTGGAGCTTGGCAATCTTCCCTTATTCCAACTTCATTTATATCAGTGAAGTTGACAGCTTCTCAGAGGTGGCCACTCTGAGATGACAGCTTGATAAAATTATTAAGAAAGACCTTCCTCCTGTTTCAAAATTAGCATGTGTTCTATCTCTGCTTCCTTGGACTTCATTGCTAGCTTTGTAATTGCTCAGGCTTTCTGAAAAGTAAAAATACTTTATGCAAAGAAATGATTAATATGGAAAAGGAAGTAAACTCAGAGACATTTTTCATGTAATTCAGAACATTTGCTAAAATTTAAAACCTGCTTTGAATGAAACAAGGACTTTATACTAGCTCCTCAACAGTTATTTGGCACAGAGATATGGCTCAGGAGACAGCTCATATATGTGTTATGATTGAGGGAATAAGCTTTTGGGAGTCTCAAAAGGCAGAAACAGGCTGATTAAACAAGTGGAAATAGAATTCAGAAACAAGCAAAGAGAAAATGAAAAAATGCATCATGAAAAAGTTTTACTTTCTGATTTCCTATGTAAAAACCCCCACCCTAAACTCTTTACCCTGCAGTCTGATCTGTATGGGCATGACTTCACCCAGTATTTAAATGGCTATAGATGATTGCTCCCATTTTATGTAATTTTGCATAGAGAGGTGTCAAGATCCACTAAATTATGACAAAACTGTTGATGAAAGCAGTGGCAGTTTCATAGGAGAAAGGCAAATAATTTGGGCTCTGAAAAGCTTCAGGACTACGGATTTAGGAATTGTTCTCAAAAGACTTCAGCCTCGATTGAGTCTTGTTAGAATTTAGAGCACTCACCGATTTGTTTTAGGTTCTCAGCATTAGACAAATCACTGCAGTGCTTTACACTGCAAAAAATACTGTTTTGTTTTTTTTTGTGAGTAGTTAAATTAAACACCACCTTGTTAAATCTGTCAAAATTTTAACAGACAAGTGACAGAATGTGTTTCAATTCACTGTGAAATACTATTGTTCTATCTTCAGGAAGGATAGTAAAAAGGTATGCAAAAAAGACCTATGTCATACATACCTGGTAGTGTTCCTTGCATTTAGTGCATTGGATATTCAATATTTTGACCATGAGGATGCTTTCTTAGGAAACATCTGGTGCAAACTACAACTTGAAACAGCTTTCTAGAACAGAGGGACCACTGGTCTAATACAATGATGTCTTTGTTCCCAGTGAGTAAATTTAGGTAGATGAAGCAGAGTACATGCAGAGTGAGGTTGGAAAGCAGCATGTCTCAGAAAAGTTTCTGCTTGCCGAACAGAAAATTACTGCTGCAAGATATGAATGAAAAATAAATTAAAACAAGTAAAGGAGAAACAACCTCCAGTTTTGTACCAATATATGTGTGAACAAAGTGATTCTCATGCTGGTTTTGTGAAGCCCCATCATCTGCTTTTCAAGGGATGATGAAAAATTCTGTCCTTGGTTCTCTTTCTGACACAAAATCTACTCCCATCTTTGACCACGAGTTCAACTACCATCTCTCTGTGGTAAACCTTTGGGCCTACTTCTGTGTTGCAGCCTCATCATCATCGGTCTTGATGCATTTCTCCACTGTTTCTGTTGGTAGTTTGGCTGTCAATCTAAGATCAGCATGACTAAAATAGGGCTTTTGGTCATACCCTAGACATATTTCATACACTTGCATGGTCCTTGTCATCTCGGTTATGGTCACAGCTTCACCCACTTGGGCCCTGTCTATGGAGTTTGCAGCACTTCCGCTCATTTATGGTGCTGCAGCCTTAGGCAGATCTCGAGCTTTTCATTACCTCAAGCATGTTATCAATCTGGGCCAATTTACAGCTCATGGGGAGATACAGAGAGCTGTTTTAAGTGGAACAAGACCTAACTGGTTTGAACCACAGTATTTCAGTGGGTAAGACGTTTTGGCCCAGTAGGTACTGGCTACCCAGCCAGTAGCTTTTAGAAGTGGTACAATGTCATTCAAGGGATAGACTGTGAAAAAAAAAACATTTTAATATGTTGCCAAAAGCTATAATAGATATTTGGAACAGAACTGGGGGATATTTGGACTCTTCATTAGGGACTGTAGTGATAGGACAAGGAGTAATGGGTTAAAACTTAAACAGGGGAAGTTTAAATTGGATATAAGGAGGAAATTCTTTCCTGTTAGGGTGGTGAGGCACTTGAATAGGTTGTCCACGGAGGCTGTGAATGCTTCATCCCTAGCAGTGTTCAAGGCCAGGTTGGATGAGGCCTTGGGTAATATGGTTTAGTGTGAGGTGTCACTGCCCATGGCAGGGGGGTTGGAACTAGATGATCTTGAGGTCCTTTCCAATCCTAACTATTCTATGATTCTATATTCAAGGTTTTGATACATAACTAGGCTCCAGCACAGCTGCTTTGTTCCAATGGCTCCTGGTACTATCCTGCTTAGACAGATTTTAGGTGCCTGGATGCATTTGGAAATCTGACCCATTGTCACTGAATTCTCACCTGCAGAAAGAGCTGAATGGGTGAAAACTGAAATTTCTTAGTAGAGATAGCTAGGAGAGCCTGTGCTCCCATAGAGCAATACAGCTATTTGTCTGGTCTATTTCGTGATTTTAATGGTAGCTTCTGATTGTGCCAAATCCTCTGCAAATTCAAGAGGCTACAGGATGGCATGACAGCTGGAGAGGGAAACAGGGCAGAACTTCTTCATGGTCCTTTACATAGCAAGACTTATTTACATTCCGTTGCCAGGAATTGAAGCTGGGAGATGGAAAGGAAGAATAAGTGTAACAGTAATGGGAAAAAAAAGACACCGGTATTAGAAATGAAGAGGAAAGAGTATTTACAAATCTTCAATTCTTCTGTATGTAAGAAGGAAAAGTCTTCAGCAGCAAAACATCCTTTTGCAAGTTATTTTAATGTAGATATTTTAACAATCTTGCATAGCTTTGCAAAGGACACCACCATTTTCTAGTGACACTGGATTTCATGCCATGAAATTCAGACTGATCACTCAAATATAGTACAATACTTAGAAACAAGTATATAGTTTGAATGTATGGAGTACAAGATCTTCATGAACCACTGAGTGCATGAGTGACAGCCTCGTGAAGGGACTTTCAGGGCTGAGGAGAGTACTAGTGAATATTGGGTGGGAACCTTCACTGTGTTTCTTGCATCAGGTCCCTTTTCAACCATTGTTCTGCAGATAATGTTCTGTTCTCACACTGGTACTTCATAAATATTTAAAGGAAAATTTAAACATCATTGTGTGAGGTTACTCTTTTTGGTGACAGGAAACTTTCAGGTATTTAATTAATTTTCATACTACCAAATTTCAGGTACTACGTGAAATTTGTTTTGCAGCTGTTGTTCCAAGTATCGCTTGGAAGTTACTGTGAGTTGCAGTTTCTTGTACAAGAATTAAGGCTGGACTTCCTGTCATCCTATATTTTTATAGGACTGTTCAATTTTCTCTTCTTGTTTTTTATGTATATTATCAGATTACCTAAGAAATAATGCACATTCCAGTACCAGTCCCAGAACTACATGGTCTAATTTTGAAGCCATAACATTTAGTCTCAGAGATTCCATTAGGCACAACTGCCATTAAGGAACAAAGACTCATCTTGCCAAAAGTTGTTTAAATGAACATAAATGCTAGTCATAATAAATAACCTGCCTTGAAAGTCACTCAGTGCACCAGCCATATTCCTTTCTTGCCACAACAAAATGGAGTAGATCAGGGCACTTGATCTTTAATAATGCTGAGCAAGATGGGGCTACCATTACAGTGTTCAATAAGATGGGAAATATGTTCAGAATTTTGTTACTATTATCACCTTTTCTGACCTATTATATTGCACACCTTGATTAGATCATGTTCGCATTTTTAGCCTACGTAGTCTTACCATGAGTGGTATGGAAATGATGGTCTTTAGATCTCCCATTTTAGAAAGCATTTTATTGCTATCAAAACAAATAATGAAACAGTTTATATAGTAAACTTCAAATGTAGTAGAGAAAGGAAGCCTTAAGACATAAGGATAGCTACCAATTCCACATATCCACTAATAATCTGCTTCTTAATTAGCTGTTAATATCAATGTACTTTTCTGATTAGGCTTTTAACTTGTGGGATTTCCTCCATTCCCAGGGTGGTTGCAGACTTCTGCATGATATATGAAGGCAGCACTGAATCTTCGGCTATGCTGTGTCTTCTCAGCTAAGTATATTTCTTAGACTAAGAAAACTTCCCATGGTAGTCAAAGGTATCTGGTTAGATCATGACAGAAAATCAGGTTTCTTCCTATGTAGTATGCAATTTAGTTCCCTTTCAGGATGTCAAGACTGCTACTTCTACTCTGAGTTTATATTGTACATTAAGGAATTGGGAAATACTCAGCTACATCTCTTTAGCACATTTTTATCTATCTTTTATGTTCCTGTTATGCAACTTAACTTATGGAGTGTACATTTGCATATGTAGTTCTCAACTTGCAGCTTCATCAGTGCCTGATAGTACCCAACACAAGGCTTCATAGTGATTAACAGCATTAATTAATACAGCTTCCAGGGGGTCTTGGACAAGACTCTCAAAATTATTTCAGCTGTTCCAAGGGCACAGTGAGAAGAACATGATTTTTAGATTTCATGTGCATGATATTCAAAGCTAAAATGAAGGAAATTGTGTACTAAAAATAGCTCTATGGTTAATATTGCAGCTGTGTTCAGACTGTATTGTCTGACTGGACCTGAACTACTATTTCAAGAAATTCACTATTACATGGCTTTTGTAGGCAGGAATAGGAAAGAAAGAAATATGTTCACTGAAATAGGAATTAATATAGGGTATCTTTTCTTCTTAGTTTTATTAGATGTTATATGTATTATAAAAATCCTCTAGGGGTCACCTGAAGTGGAATTTTCTGTTCCTTAATATCCTGCTGCAGGGTCCCTGGGCTCTGGCAGGAAAAAACTTGTCACAGAAGAGACACATTCATTAGAATTTCATATTTTATTGTCCTGAAGGAGCTGGACACTTTTCCCTTTAAGCAAGATCCCTTCATTGTTGCTGGGATGAATGCTATTTAATATTTTCATTAACATCAGAGAGAGTGGGATTGAGTGCACCCTCAGCAAGTTTGCCGATAACACTAAGCTGTGTGGTGTGGTTGATGCG